GGCCGGGCCGTGATTCACGGCTCCCTGCCCGCCGCTCGCCGGCCCGGCCCCGGGGCACAGCCGGTGCCCGGGAGTGGGCGGAGGGCGGAGGTGCGCCGGGACGGTGCAGGTCCGGCCCGGCAAGGAGGGGACGTGCCGCTCTGGGGCCTTTGGGGGGACGCTGTGGGGTCACTGCTCCCGTCAGGCCCGGGCATGGGCAAGAGGTGTGTGGGGACAGCTAATGCCACCACAGCCCCCTCACACTAAGTGCGTGCCCCTGCTTGCTGTGAGGCAGCCGGGGCAGGGGGAGCCCTGCTTCGTGTTCCCTTCGGCCAGGTCTGAGGTAGAGGTGCAGATACTCCAGGGAGGTTTATGCTCTGTGGTGGGGAGGTTCTCCTCCTCCATGTGGCCTTAAGGTTCACTTGGGCATTGGAGGAGTGGGTGTGATGATGTCCTGGAGCCAGGTCTTGAATCCTTGTTCTGGACAACAGACAGAGGAGGAACAGGTGTAGGAGAGGTGTGGGTGCTGTGCAGATCAGACAAGGCATGGATATTGCTTATCTGTCTGCGGTGGGGCTTGCTGTCACAGAATTTGACTTTCTCTCTTGTTTCTCCTGTTTTCCACCAGGGAAGGGAAACTACTGGACCTTAGATCCCAACTGTGAGAAGATGTTTGACAATGGGAACTTCCGTCGCAAACGCAAGCGGCGCTCTGAGCCCAACGCCCCCGCGACTGCATCTGCAGCCTCCTCTCTGGGGGGCCTGAAGGCCGAGGAAGAGCGACCCATCCCAGCCACAGGCAAACCGTGTGGAAACAGCCCACCCCCAGAGCTGGACCCCTCGCCTTCTGCCAGGGACCATCCAAAAAGCTCCTCTCCCTCCGGTATCATTTCATCCACCCCTAGCTGCCTCAGCACCTTCTTCAGCGGCATGAGCTCCCTGAGCAGCGGAGGCAGCCGGCTGACAGGGGGTCTCAGCAGTGACCTGCATCACAGGAACTTCTCTGCTGGACAGCTGAGCAGTGGCACTTTCACCCCTTCCAGCAGCTCTTCTCAGGAGGTGCCTTCGCCAGACCAGCTGCAGCGGGTTGCGGGACCTTCCCCCGCCTACTACAGCTCCTTCCATCCCAGCAGCAGCAGCCAGGGAGCCCAGTACAACCACTACTACAACTTCACGGTTAACAGCCTCATCTACACCCGGGATGGAACAGAGGTGTAGGATGCTGGGGCAGTCGGCCGGCGAGCTCTGCAAAGGGAATGGGAGTTGCAGGTGTATTTGGCAGCACGGAGGACCATATGCTTTTGCAAACAGCATTTCAATGTGGACGCTTCCCAGGAGTTCTTCCAGGAAGACAGACCTTCTCACCTTTCAAAATGAGAACGCCCCTTAAACACCAGCAGAAGGCAGATGCAAAGTCTTTTCCCCATCCTGGAAAATGTTAGGTGGTTTAGATGGCTTGCCGTCTAAATTCTGCAGATGAAAGTGAACTGAATTAATGTTTTCAGAGGTTTCTAATCCTGAATGTAGAATAAGAAGTTTAAAAACTGTAACCATAAAGCGATATCAGCAAGAGCCAAGTGTAGATATCCAGTGATTCTTAGAAGAGAACAGGAGAAAACAAATGAAGAGATTTCTTATGAAGTGCCTTGTACAATGTGTTAAAAAACTCTTCTGCCAGCAATTGCCTCTGTAAGCCCTTGCTTTCTGCCCTGATCCTGCAATATGCAATGCACGGGGGAGATACTCTGGGAAAACACCCACCCAAAACCTCCTCAAAACCCACAGAGGTTCTCTCTGGTCTTCCTGTGTATGGCATATTGTACAGCCAGGGCCGTGTCTTGTAAAACAATCTTTTCCCCTGAGCTTAGTACCAAAGATAACTCTAGCCATGCAGCTTTAGCAAGAGAATAAACACTGGGGTATTTTTATACATATTTGTACGTAATGTAACTCTTCTGTACATATGTTTCTATGTGGTTTTATATTTGTAAATTATGCTCTGGAGCTGTACTTATTTATAATGTGTTTTAAACTTTGTTAAAGTTTATTTTACTTCATTTCCCCTTCTTTTTTGTTGTTTTATTTGTTTTGAATTTTTTGTTGGTTTTTGTTTTTCTTCGTTAGTATATTAATGCAACTTTTCAGGCTGAACAGCTGTTGGGAATAAAATGTTAACAATTGTTAGATTTTTGCCTGGTTGTTCCTCAGTATGTTTGAGGTATTGTAAAACTCTGGGAGCCAGGTTTTGCTTTCACGTGGGTTGGGATAAAAGGTGCAAAGATTTACGAACAATTTCATCTGCGCAGTAAGGCAGAAAAAACCTGCTCTGGGCCCAAAGGAGACGCATCTGAGCTGATTTGCAGCCTCTCATAGTCTCGCTGTGCAGGGTGGGCTCTCTGGGCTTTTTTGTTTGTTTTTGTCAACGGTCTGAATTACAACTGTCCTTTTTCAGCCTGATTTAGTAAAAAAAAAAATAAAAGCTGGCGAAAGTAAAAGAAGCGGGGCTGGTTCCAGCGTGGTGCTAGCTGGTAGGAGGTACGAAGTCTGAGCTTGGCTGTTGGCTCGATCCGTTTTGCAAATCGGTTTTTCGAATAGGATTGCACCTGCTTAAAACGGCAGGCTAGATGAGGAGTCGGACCAGTCAGCTAGCGGGCCAGGCAGCCGTCCGCTGTAAACAGGCGCTCCTGAGAATCCTTCCCGATTCATGCTGCTGGGAGAGGAGAATCCATCCTGGAGCAGCCATTATGCAAAACGATCAACTCCCAGTTCTTGCCGTTTGCATAAGCTGTTTGTTGGGCGCTGTGTGCGGGTAGAGCGTAAATATAAATGTCTTCATGAGGAATGTAGCATCAATAATGAAGTTAAGCATGAAATTGCAGCTATTTAACATATATGCATCTGCCCTGATATAAGGCCATCCCTGCAGGCTATTCAGAAAACAAAATTGTTGGCAGTGCGATGCAGCGCCTCTTCACTGGCTACCTGCATAACATGCAGGGTAGTGATGCAAGACAAACCACTGGCCTGATCCAAAATATAATGAAGCCATGACGAAACGTCAGATGACTTCCATGTGCTTGGGATCGGGACCAAGTACTTTCCCCAGCACTGGCCAACTGCCATTTGTGCAATAGCTGAGACCAGTGGGTGGGTGGCAACTCCTGCCTCTTCCCCCTCTCGCTCACCCCTTCCCAGCACAGATACCATCTTCCTGGCTTTAGGGGTAATTCCTCCATGTCTTGATTTTTAATTGCATCTCGGGTGATGCGGTGGTGGTGATAATGGGAGGGAGAGGGCCGACTGCCACTAGCAAAAAGACAAGGTGGTCAGTCTTGTCCTGCTCGAGTTCAATCGCACCAGGTGTGGAATAGCTTTATTTGGATTTTGGACTGCTGAGTTTGGTCTAAAAGCGGTGGAGGGATTCCCAACACCTTCAAAAGATTTAAAGCCAGTCCTTAAGTAAGCCAGGAACTGCTTACTCGTGTATCTAAGTGACCATTGCACCCCTTCTCTGCTCCACCTGCCTGTTGTCAGATCTTAGCAAGCAGTGGGCCAATGCGGGACACTTGCATGTCTCCAGCTCATGTTCTTCCATCCAAATTTGTTTCAGGATTTACCCTCCGCCATTTCCATCAGCTGTATGTTTCTGCAGACGGTACCCATAGAAGTTTGCTCCTGAGGATCCCGAATCAGTGGCAAATTTGTGTTGCTGTGTGGTCTGCCTCTGGCAGTATGTCTTCAGCAAATATCCCATGGCTCAACAGACCTCCTCGTGCCACAGCGGTTGGGTGGTGGCATAGCCAGAGCCTGCCAGAGCAGAACCAGGGAAGGATTCACCCACCACAGTGCTCCAGCCCCGCTCCTGAGGGATGGTGGTGCGCTCTGGGGAGGTTTTGGCAGCTCTACCCGTCCCCAGTGCACCTTTCCTGCCATTAGCACCAAATCCCGCTCCCTCCAGGGAAAGTGAGCCCTTAGCTGGAACCAGGGGCTGTGGCCCCTCCTGCGGACACACCACCCCAAAGGTTGGTGTGCTCACGAGAAAGCAACCTGCCCAAGGGACACTTGAGAGTAGATTTCAGCAAATAGACACCTAGTCTGCAGAGAGGAGCCAAGCGAATGAGCTAATGGCAGCCTTTTAGGTTTCCTTTTGTCATTAAAAGAGACTCTTCTTTTAGCAAATCTTGAGAGAGGGAGGGCAAGAGGATTGAGTTTAATGAAAGGCACTTAAAAGCAGCAGGGCTATTGTCATGGGTTTGGGGGATTTACTGTGATTCCCCCATTGAAGAAGGGGGAAGACAAAGGCAATTAGCCTGCTGGTCCCACCCTGAGAGTCCCCACTCCCCTCTAAATGCCAAGGCCATGCCTGGGATGGGCAGTTCTCCATGACAATGAGCCTCTTCCCAGTCTGGGTCAGGTGATAGCCCAGCAGCCCAGGGCATAGCCTGCTCCCAGGAAAGTCAGCGGAGTATTGTCCTTCCCTTGGAGAAAGGCTCAAACTTCAGGCCTCTGTCCTCTCTGCTCGGGCAGCCATAGGAATCACCCTGTAAAATGACAACTTCTGGCTTTGAGGGAGCAGTGATCTCATGGGGGGGTAGTTGGGAGCCCACAAATCCCATCTGCTGGACGCTAAAGCTAAGCATTGCAGGAAGTCTCATCTTTGCTTGGTTCCTCCACTCTTTCTAGGTGTCTAGAAAGATGCCACCTCAACTGGGCAAGACTGATGCAGCGCAGCGGTACTCGATGTGAAACCACAGTCGTGCTGATGGCTGCAAGCACAACTGCCTGGTACCTCTGCCCTGTGCTACCTGTACCCTTCGACACTCCCAGCCAGGGACCGTGGCTCTTCCAGCACACACAACTACTAAAAAAGGCAATCCCTGCTTGAAAAGAAGTACAGTCCGAAGGCATTTCAAGAGACGCGTTGGATCAGTAACACAGATGCTTGCTGGCTCCTACGTGTGGCACTTCTCCAGCATGGGGTCGTTTAACTTTGCTCAGTGCCGGCCTTATCGACATGCCAGCAAAGGTTCAGGCAGGCACCCACTGCAGGTCTGCACTTGAGCTACTCCACATTACAAAGACCTTGCCAGTACAGCTGGATCAGCCCAGTCCCCTAGAGGAGACCCAGCTCCCATCAACAAAGGAAACTCTTGTGCCAGTAAAGTTAAACCCCCCACCCCCAGCAACATCGAGTATATTGTGGGGTGGTGGGAGGGGATTCAAGAGGCAGAACACAGCCATCCGCACTGGGTTTCATCGCCCGCCAACTCTTTTGGAAATAGGGCTTCAATTACTGCCACTGGCCATGGACTGTGGTTTGCATCTCCTCTGAAGGAGGAGGCTTTTGATTTGCCCTGTCACTCACCAAGTCCATGAAAGTTGGCCACAGTACGTTGTGCCTGTACAGAAGGTTTTATTGCCTTTGTTATGCTGATTGAGGGTGATTTTTCCCTGAAAACTTTAGGAATCGTTCAAAAGAAGTAGTAGCGTTCAAGGAAAGCACTCCATGGATATCCTGCCCTTGCCCTCACTGTATTTCTAGCAATGGAAAATCTTCATCGGACTTCTTGAGGTAGGGCCACCAGCCCTGCAGATCTCACCTGACTTTGAATGCAACGTACCTGAATCCTGTCCTGCTCGTGCATGGGAGGTGGTCCTGTCGGTCTCATTCTGATAGCACATAAAATAAGAGGGACAAAACCTCATTTTGTAGCTTGACCCAAGAGAGGCAAGATGAGAATCAGACCTGGGTGATGGTACATAGATGGCTGATGCCTCAGCTAGAAATAGCTGTGCCAGATGGAGACTGCAATTGTTGGGAAATTGTTGTTTCTCCTTAGGCTTCGGAAAAAAAAAAAGACTAGTTTTATTGCCCTGTTAGAAAATCCCTCCAAAACAGATTTTTTTCCCGATTATTTTTTTTCTCTGATTGTTGAAAGAAGAAAACCATGGATTTACCTTTTCTTTTTCCTTCTTTTTGGCAGAAATCTCCATCAAGCTGAACTCCCCCCCCCCCTTTTTCTGTTAAAAAGAAGGTTGATGGAATGTTTTTGACCAAATTACCGAGTGCAATATTCACCTGGGTAAGGTGACGAGAATTTGCCCCTCAAGGAATAACTGAAGTGTAATGTAAAACATCAAAGGTGTTATTTTTTTTTTACCTTATACCTGAGCTATCTCTGAATCATATCAAATAATCTTCTCGTTTCATAACACCA